CGGTCTTGGTCATCAAATTGGCCAGTCTGCCAGCCATCACATTGGCCGGTTTGCCGGTCATCACCATTTCTTGTCTGCTGGTCATTACAATTTTTGGGTTTTCCGGCTTCATATTTTACCACATGCAGCTCAGTATCAGAATGTCATTACAAAGCGCCGACCGCTGTCTGAATCAGATATTCCCCAGCCCTCCCCACACCATTACACACTTGTTGCGTGCCACCGAATCGGTGAAAAAAAGTTTTTTTTTTATCTGGACCTGTAACTGTAATACAAGAAAGACTGCATGTTACACATTCTTGACGCACGCTGTGGTGCCCTACTTGTCCTAACATACTAAACAAAGTTTACCATACTAGTTGAACAAGATCCCAAAATCTCATTGGGATATAACATTAATCTGGTTTTATATGGGATATTTCAAATATCCTGGACAATATCCCAGAATATGTCAGATCAGTTTAACTTGCGGCTAAGTCTGACATGTATTTGAACTCTCGACTTTGAACCCTCACACGATAGCAAGTACTGTGGGTGATCTCATTTGCATCAAGTCCTTGTGCCAATAAACGGGGGGAGGGGGAGATTCTGGGATAATGGCTGGCACAAACACTTTAACATGTTTCCTTGGGGGGTGGGGACGGAGGAGAGGGGGGGTGGGGACGGAGGAGAGGGGGTGGTTTATGGAGGAGAGGGTGTGGGGATGGAGGAGAGAGAGGGGGTGGGGTTGTGCAGTCCTTGATGTTTTAGCGTCTAAAATAAAACGGAAAATAATTTGTTTGAACCGTCATTAAGTAAATTGGAAATATCCAATCAATTACGTCAAATGTGGTGGGGTGTGGGGTGGGTGTTGTGTGTGTGGGGTGGAGGGTGGGGGGTACAAAATTCCATCACCAGAACAGGACAGGCTCCACAAACTGACAGCCCACCAACCCAACAGCCCACCAACCCACAGGCTATTTTGTTTTGAAAGCCATCCAATTGAATCGAGGCTTACGAATCTTTAGTTCAATCACCACTCATGTAAGATATCAACAACTCAACCACACATCTACCCCACAAATCCACCCAACCTCAAACATACCCCACATATCCACCCAACCTCACACATACCCCACATATCCACCCAACCACACATCTACCCCACATATCCACCCAACCACACATCTACCCCACATATCCACCCAATCACACATCTACCCCACATATCCACCCAACCACACATCTACCCCACAAATCCACCCAACCTCACACATACCCCACATATCGACTCAACCACACACCTCCCCCACATATCCACCCAACCACACACCTACCCCACATATCCACTCAACCACACACCTCCCCAACATATCCACTCAACCACACACACATCAATTCCTCTTAAAAATAATTAACATCTTCCACACCCATTCTGCACCCATAAACCATCCACCCATACTACCCACTTCCACCCACCCTACCCACATGCACCGAGCCTATTCCTACCCACATCCCAGCACACTACCATCCACATGTGGCACCAAAGTGCCACCACAAAAAAACGCTCAACTCCGCCATCCATTTTCAAAGAACAAAACAGCCCTTGGAGAAACGGACTTCATCCTTTTATGCAAATGAATGCATTAATCTGATTATATTTACATATTAATTCTATTGCGCGGATATTGAAATCATAATAAAACAAAATCGTATTTAAGCTTCCCTCAAATTAATAAATTGTTCTTATTATTTTCCCATTCGATTTTTAAATTTTGATCGACCTTTTAATGAACTTCTAAAAAACACGGATTTTTTTTTTCTCAAGCTGGTAAACAAATAGAAAATGCGCTAGGCAGAAAGACAGGTCGGCAGGGGAGAGAATCGCCAGCAAGATTGGACTCGGTGATGGGAACTGGCCAAGTAAGGGCGAATAGATTAAAAGTTTTTTTGTTCCCGGCGCACGCTGACACCGGAGTGAACAAATGAAGAGCCCGTGTGGAGGGGGGCTCTCGTCCGGGGACAAGGGAAAACTCGAACCGTTTGTCCTGGGCTAACAAGGTTCATCATCAACGTTTTCTTTATCAAGTGTTTGGTTATTCAAGTCCTTCATGGCTTCTCAACTGCTGGCCACTAATACCCTGTCAGTGAGGGGTGGGGAGGGGGGGGGGGGGGGGGGAGTTCGTCAGATTGTCAGTGGCTCCACAGGGTGGAGCCCGAGACCGACCACGGGATCGTTACCAAAAGTCAACGGGGACAAATCTATGTGTGTAGAAGATTTGTCCCCTTGAGTAACAGATGTGTCCACTTGAGTTTGATTATCTACATCATCATTTCTCAGATATCCCTAAAAATACCCCCCCCCCCCCCACACACACATACACATAGTTCGTGTGTGTGCGACGTGGGTGTTTTTAATGTGAGGAGGTGTAATCTGGGCCCGTGATGAATGTGTGATATGGGGGTGTTTGATGTATGTGATGTGTGTGTGTGTGTATATGTGTGTGTGTATGTGTGTGTGTGACGTGTGTGTGTGACGTGCATGCTTATGATATGTTCAGCAGACGCAAGTTTATGTGAGATATATCCCTCGACACGTCTGATAGGACTTGGTTTGGAATGAGTAGCACTAAACTGGCTAGCTCAGGGATTGGACAGGCAGCATCACGTGACAAATGGCAGCATAGATCATGGGGGGGGGGGGGGAAACTTTCAACAACCCACTTGTTCCCACTGCCCAACCCCACAGCTACAAGACATACACGATGACCATACATATTGCAGAATCCACTAGATGAAATTTCCAGAAAGTTTTGTCATTAAACTCCATGTTGGGTTATCCTAGCCAATCCCGACCTATCCTAGCCTATCCCAACCTATCCTAGCCTATCCCAACCTATCCCGCCGTGAGCAGTGTGTTCTACGCCTAGCATAAAGGCCAGAGCCCAATAAAAACCAGTAAATAGGATTCCGACCATCTCCTCTGATGGAACTTTGCCGTTATTTGCTCCCGTCTTTAGCCAGGCCAGAACGGAATGACAATTCTGGGACGAATTAACGGCTCCAGGTCGTTAAAAGTGTCAGTGGCAACAGCCGTCCCCCACCCCCTCCCCACCTACCCACCCCTCTGTTTAAAAACCTGCCTCTTTCAATTGGTCGAGTTCAGAGAAATTGGAGTGAGGGGAAAAAAACGAGGAGAAAAAAAAATGCCCACTGTTATTTTATTCAGTGGGAGACACATTGATAGGAGTGTGTGAAATGTGGGGGAGTGAAGGGCGGGAGGTGGGGGGGTGATGGGGCGGAGGTGGGGAGAGAATGGGAAGTGGGAATTCCAGGATATGGAAGAGGGAGATTTCAAATGGAGCTGTTGAATAGAACCCATTTGGAGCATTTTAGATTTGCCAAGTAGGCCAAACAGAGAGGCAGAATGTAAAAATCTGGCCAACATGCCGGGCGTTAGCCAGTACAGACGTGTCCATCACGGACCATCTCGTCCAGCAGATGACCTGGCCAGTCTGGCAAATGGCCTGGTCAGTCTGGCAAATCTACCCTGGTCCAGCGACCATCAGATGACCTGGTCAGTCTGGCAAATGACCTGGTCAGTCTGGCAAATCTACCCTGGTCCAGCGTCCATCAGATGACCTGGTCAGTCTGGCAAATGACCTGGTCAGTCTGGCAAATCTACCCTGGTCCAGCGACCATCAGATGACCTGGTCAGTCTGGCAAATCTACCCTGGTCCAGCGACCATCAGATGACCTGGTCAGTCTGGCAAATCTACCCTGGTCCAGCGTCCATCAGATGACCTGGTCAGTCTGGCAAATCTACCCTGGTTGAATGTCTATCAGAAAATGACTATCCAACAAATCTCAATTTGTATTCCAATTTGTTTCCAAGCTTTGTTACATTTGCCGCTCATTTTTTTAAACAATAAACTCTCAAACTTGCAGCACCATTAAAGAACACCCCCCCCCCCTCCACACCCACCCACAAACACCCCTCCAACGAATTAAAGAAATAAAAATTGGACGCAAGTTGGCGTCTGCGCAATAATCCGAGTCCTGGAATCTTGCTGGCCGCAACAGGGCAACAGATCCCGTTATTAGCGTCCTTTCATCTCCGTGATCAGTTTTTGCCCTCCCAAACGTGATGATTCCCCGGCCTTTGATGGGCGGTTTCATAACACGGCGCGGGGACTAACAGCGCTCAGATCTTCACTTCATATCATCTACAAATAATTAATGGGATTACACTCCCGGCTCATCCACTGATTGCAAAAACGTGTGTTGCTCGCGCGCTTTTCACCAGGATCTTCTAGACTGAGGCACGGTGGTTTCGATAGGGGTGGGGGAGATAGGGGAGAGGGGGGTACGGGCGGGAGGGGTGGTTTCTTTCATCATTAATAAACTTTTCCTCTGTTTAGAGCTTGTTTCTGTTCAAACAGATTGGAATTCCGGCTTTGGACGTGAAAATAGGCCAGGAGCTATGCAGCGATAAGCCAGCCAAGGCCACGTGGGCTGGGTTTAGCTGATTAAAAAACTCTTTGATTTCAAGTTGGTCCGGTTCGCGCAGGGCCGGCGACTGCATTCAATTTGCACTAGATCTACCGCATGAGTGGCGCCCCCTTCCCGTCATGGCGGGCTTACATCGCAAGTCGACTGGTAAATGGGAACGCTGTACATTTCCGGTCACGTGACCTGTCGCCATGATGTTTAATTAATTACGTATTAGTGTCGAACTGGTTTAAGATTCGTTTAAAAAAATCAATAAATAAATCTTTTACGGTTGATCGGTGTGACTAATGAAGTTTATTGCGAGTAAATTATTGAATAGAAAACCAAACTTCGACTCTAACAGAATCTATTTCAGTATAATGAAGGAGACAGAAATCTATTTTTAGTTTTGATTTTGTATTAAACGGTAAACTAAATCAGTCACGTGGTACGCGGTAAACTAAGCCCATCACGTGGTGCGAGGTACCAGTCACGTGGTTAGAGCCGGACGAGCCGGGTTCGAATCCTACCTTGAGCCATGTCTATCAGCAGGTCACGCAGCGCCTCCTCCTTGCCCGTCACCTGTACAGCCGACACGCGCACGGAGAAGCGCGCGCCAGTCTTGTCCTTCTGCTCGTTGATGATCTTAAAGAGCCAGGCGATGGCACAGGGCATCACCCCCAGGGTGCCCGGGGACTGGTCACTGCCGATCATCGTGTACGTCTTGCCTGTGGGTAGAAGAAACATGTGGTTAGATTGGGATTACATAGAAGTGGTCAGGGGGGGGGGGCATTCCAATAGTGGGACAGTAGTGATTAGAGGAGAGGACACATTCCAATAGTGGGACAGTGGTGGTCAGATGGGGGGGGGCACATTATAATAGTGGGACAGTAGTGGTCAGAGGAGAGGCCAGTAGTGGTCAGATGGGAAAACCCATTCGAATATTGGGACAAGACAGCAGTGGTTATCGACAGCAGCCAGTATACTTGTATTTGAACTAGACCTAGTCACTAGCGACTGGCCTAGACCTAGTCACTAGCGACTGACCTAGAACTAGTAAGACAAGGTATCCTGTATCCTGTAAAGGTTTTGACGGATTTCAAACGTATGCGCAGGTTTGGATACTGTGTTTATGCTACATACTAACTACAAGGTAGAATCATGTAATCAAACATGTGTTTTCTATGTTATGCTTTAAAAACATGACTTCCCTAAGTCATATTATTAAACATGAGTTCACCAAGTCATGAGTGGTCTAAGTTGTATTATAAAAACACGAGTTGTCTAAGTTGTATTATAAAAACATGAGTTGTCTAAGTTGTATTATAAAAACATGAGTTGTCTAAGTTGTATTATAAAAACATGAGTTGTCTTAGTCATATTATAAAAACATGAGTTGTCTAAGTTGTATTATAAAAACATGAGTTCTCTCACTCATGTAATCAAACACGACACCACCAACACGAGGGCGAGAAGACCCACCCAGGACTCTCACACTCCCCTGTCATCACGCAACCCGACCCCTCAGCTTGTCCCTGCCTGGGACCCCCAACCCCAGCCCAGTTGCATGCTGGGGGTAACCCGAACCCAGGGGCCATCACCCGGAGTTAACCGTCAAAGGGCCGCAACTGTTTGCTCGGGCCACATTAAGCGTGCAAAAAACCGGTCTCCCAAATCTGTTGCCCTGCCCAGCACACGATTCTAGAGCTCACCCGGTTCGATACTTCAGGAATCGCGGGCAGGAATTAATTGATTCCTTTAACCTTTGAACCCTGCAGATTAGATGTATTGGAGACGGACGCTGGTAATGAAGTCAGATTGTTTTAAGGGTCCGTGTTTCAGCTGCTAATAGAATCAATGGGGAGCGGAAATGAAGCAACAGCAAGCGGACACCAGTCGGCCCCCTCACAGCGTCGGCCCTCACACCCGTCGGCTCACCGCACTCTCGGCTCACTGGCTCCTACATGTCCCCCACATTACAACAACAGGGGGGGCAGAAATGGGGGGGGGGGCAGAAATTGGGGCGCGGGGCTGATTAGCCTGAGGCCATAACAACAACAGTTGGCGTCGTTTGCTCGACAATTTAGCCGGCTAAATGTTGAGGTGCTGCGGTTTTAGCGGTTAACTTGTGGCTATTTAAATTAATTGAAACAAGACGTTTTAGTGAGGCTGTCTTTTATACGCTAGGCCTACAGTATCTCAGTGGGGTGATCAAGTTTTCATGGAAACACAATAAAAAGCGTATTTTAAATATTTTTGATAAAAATATGGATTGGAACTAGCCAAGGTTGACTGGAACTAGATCCCTATGGACTGTAACTAGTTGAATATGGACTAGAATCAGGTAAATATGGATTGGAATTAGTTAAACGTATGCTGGAATTATCTAAAGATGGACTGGAACTTTAGAAAAACTGCGATTGTTGATAATCCGAATTAGGAAGGAAAAACTTGAACCTTTCACAAGCGGCATGACCTTCAAGTCTTATCTAGATGGGTGGCTATCACAGGGCGTGGCCTGATATTGATACGGGGGTCTGTCCCCCACATGACCCCCACTATCATTATGGGCGGTAACCAGAGATTTAGGGGGAGGGCAGTGGCCAGCCAGGGGAGATAATGCTAGATACAAACCTACATGGAGCTGCAAGGGATGGGTCTAAATATACTGAACATTATAATTACCCGACTAATTGGCAAACTAATTAAGCATTAAATGAGCTGGCGAGGTTCCATTATTTTGTGAAAGAGGAACAGAAAATGAGCGGTTAACTGTCGCGTCGATAATAGCATAAACATGTAGGCTCCTTCAAGACATGCGCCAAGTCCACGCCTTCTGCACATGCGCGAGCTTAGACTGGCCAATGAGAAGTCGTAGAGAAGAATCGGGGTTTGTGGGACTTTTACCAGAAGGGCTGGCCACTCGTTTGTAGGTTTCATGTATGGCCATCATAAAACTTGGCCATAAAGATGATGGCCAACATGGAAATATAGTCGAATGTGATGTTTCTAGAAGAGATGGCCATTATTTTTTTTAATGGTCAAAAGATGGTATTGCCCTAAAAATTACGGACATCATATGGCCAAAAGAAGGGACTGTCGATAGTGAAAGAGGAGTCCGAACAAATCACGTGACTTACCTAGCCTGGAGTAGCCATAAAATTATGTAAACCAACAGAATCACGTGACTTACCTAGCCTGGAGTAGCCGTATGTAAACTTACAGAATCACGTGACTTACCTAGCCTGGAGTAGCCGTATGTAAACAACCATAATCACGTGACTTACCTAGCCTGGAGTAGCCGTATGTAAACAAACAGAATCACGTGATTTACCTAGCCTGGAGTAGCCGTATGTAAACAAACATAATCACGTGACTTACCTAGCCTGGAGTAGCCGTATGTAAACCAACATAATCACGTGACTTACCTAGCCTGGAGTAGCCGTATGTAAACAAACAGAATCACGTGACTTACCTAGCCTGGAGTAGCCGTATGTAAACCAACATAATCACGTGACTTACCTAGCCTGGAGTAGCCGTATGTAAACAAACAGAATCACGTGACTTACCTAGCCTGGAGTAGCCGTATGTAAACAAACAAATCACGTGACTTACCTAGCCTGGAGTAGCCGTATGTAAACAAACAGAATTACGTGACTTACCTAGCCTGGAGTAGCCGTATGTAAACAAACAAATCACGTGACTTACCTAGCCTGGAGTAGCCGTATGTAAACAAACAGAATCACGTGACTTACCTAGCCTGGAGTAGCCGTATGTAAACAAACAGAATCACGTGACTTACCTAGCCTGGAGTAGCCGTATGTAAACAAACAAATCACGTGACTTACCTAGCCTGGAGTAGCCGTATGTAAACAAACACCCATCCGTCCCCGCCACAACAGCTTGTATAATCTCCGAGAGGCTACTAGCACACAGTTCCGTCTGTGGATGGGAGGTCACGTGTGTTAGCTCCAAACTCAATTATCCTAATTTATAAAAGGCCATGTGCGCTCTTCTCTCTCTCTCTCTCTTTCTCTGTCCGCAAAAAATTTTCGCCGGACATCACGTCAGAATCGGCAGCGATATATCGAGAACTTTTTACGGACTTTTGTTGAAAATAATATGTTAGATGTTTTAAATGTATAACCACAATTTTACTTAAAGAAGAAAAATAAAAATTAAAGGCGTATTCGAATGTAGAGAAACAGTATTATTTATGCAACCGGAAAAGCATTAATACATGTGAAAAAGAACGCATAAAACTGTGACGTCGCTATTGCTTATACATTAACTAATGACGTCATCTGCTGTGTTTTGAATAAAAAGAAATGAACTATTTCATTCAAATTTGATTTAGATCTACGTACACTATGAAATGTATACAATACAGTTTTTCCGGCCTAAACTCATAAAATTTATTTTATTTATTTGGATTCTAGATCTAGAGATTCTAGATCTAGACTAAATCTAAATCTACGCAATAACTAGATCTATAATCTAGACGTAGACGCTAAGATCTAGATTTAGACTCTAACTTCTCTAAAATCTATTCCAAAAATAAATTTCTATATTAGGACTAAACTATTTCAAGACTTATTTATTTTATACAAAATCTTTGTTATGAACTGGCTAATTTGGGATAAAAAAATAATTTGAAAGAATAGGCATATTCGTGTAAGTTAAGATTTTAAAATACGTGTTTCATTCTCCGTATTTTATAAGGTGCCTAAATAGCGGAGATGTTAGTGTACATTAAACCACGCAGGTGGTGCGGGTTCGAGACACAGCAAGTCAACTTGGTTAATGTATTCTTTTTTATTATGCTCGGGCTAAACTTAAAAAAAAAATTCTTTTAGGAATCTAGATCTAGATCTAGATTCTAGATTGTCGGGTGTCCGATAGGGCACTTCCCGGCGCCGCAGGCGCTTCAAATTTGGCATGATCTTGCCTTGGTGCGACAGAACACGGGGGCCGGTTGGCCGAAAAGTCTACGATGTGGGGGTCAAAACTGACCTCGACTGACCGGTACCTTATATGAGCTATAAATCGAAAAAAAATGTCCACGGAGGAACCTCTTCATAACTCTTGAGGTCGTAGACCGACCTTCGGGCGAATTAATTAAGCATTCAAATTCTCAATGTTTTCGAAAGCCTAAGCGAAGCTGGGCAGCATGCCTAGTAATCAATATAGCTCCACACTAAATTACAACATATATTTAGACTTCGAGCCACAACATTATAATCAACACATCACAATCTGGCCACTACATTACAATTCAATTTTCATAAACTGGCCATTACATTACAATCAACATTTCACAATCTGGCCTCTACGTTACAATCAATAGTTTAACTGTAGGCAATTATTGAAGTTTGTAATATTTCACAGTTTGATGACAACTCAGATATTTGTGAATGTTATACCCCCCCCCCCCCACCCCCCACGGAATACAGATTGTAAGTATTCGGTAGTAAGCTGTCTATACCCCCCCCCCCCCCACGGAATACAGATTGTAAGTATTCAGTAGTAAGCTGTCTGTAGTCCCCCCCCCCTCCCTCCCCCCCCCCCCCCCCCGGAATACAGATTGTAAGTATTCAGTAGTAAGCTGTCTGTAGCCCCGCCAGGGGGAGCCAGTTAATCAATACAGCACGTGGCTGCTGGCGCCGAGCCCGTGGAGGGGGGCCGAGAAGACCAGGTCGGCATCTGCCCCACCCCCGGGCTGCCGCTCACCCAGAAAGGAAAAACACCTTTCTGTCTGATGTTTGGGCTAGGTGGCGGGGGTGTACGGAATTTGTGGGCGCGGGCCGGGCGCCGGTTCTAATGTGTTTAGCAGTCCTGATTGGTGGGTGGCGGGCGCGGAAGGTCGTAATTAAATAGACCATGTCAGGCAAGATGAGAAGTGTCAATAAAAAGTGGCCAGATTTTGTTAAACACAACACACAACTAAAGACACGTGAAGTCACATGCCAGGCATACAGGCGAGTTAGATAGGTAACTTAATTTATTTTTTTACATTATTTGCATTCTGTACAGATTCTTTCTTTTGGTGGGACAGAAGTCAATTTAAGATACTTAAGTCAATTTGTGGTACTGAAGTCATTTTGTGGTACTGAAGTCATTTTGTGGTCCTTGAGTCAATAAGGGGGATAACGTCCGAATAGAAGACTTTACTTATAAAGTTAAACTGCTGGAATATTAGGTTAGATTGTGTGAGGAGCAGGGGTTAACAGTAGCAGGGGTCAACGGTAGCAGGGGTCAACGGGAGTAAAGGTCACTCGTGAGTCACTATAAGTTTATGTCATTAAGATTGACTGTACACAAGAGTCACATGGATTGTCTCTCTCTCACACACACAAACAAACAGACAAACAATAACAACGAAGAAGCAAAAGTCACGTGCAGTCACAAAGATACGACTAGCTAGAGTCACATGGAGTCACAATGATAGCTAGAGTCACATGGAGTCACATAGGAAGTAGCCCAAGACTGACCAGCGAGTCGTCTGGCGTGAAGACCGAATCAAAGGCGAACATTTTGGGCGCGGCCGTCGTGGCTCGTCTGCTGGCCGAGGTGACGTATCCGCTGGCCGAGGGGTCAAACACGGTCACTTGCTTCTTCCGGGGGTCCGGGGACAGGAAGGATGACCCGCCCTGCTCGCCTTGACTTCCGGCGCTGTTGCATATCTTTAGCATGACCTTGACCTACAATGAAAAAAACAAACACATACATTAAAGAAAGACAGAAAACCTGTACGTATAAATTTACATATGGTATTTATCTACCTTGGACAGAGTTTCAAAAGTAAGAGAACTGACTAGATTTCAGGTAGGTTTCATACAAAACATCATTAAACATCAAAAAGTATCATCAACACATCTGAGAGTACCATCAATACAGCTTTAAAAAAATGATTCAGGAACAAGTAAGGTCATGTGTGAGTGAATCATTTTTAATCAAAGTTTTATAACTCCTCCGGTCCTCCTCCGCTGATCTCCCCTTGGTGCAAGTGATTAGGGCAGAGGAAGGGTCTAGAAGGAGGTGCACCAACAAGGCACTGGATGTTTATAAACATCACGGCGTGGCGAGCACGTGATGTCAGGAAGTGCTAGCCTGCATGTCTTAGCACCATGGGAGATAACTGCGGGCTTGAATATGACGGAAGGGGAAGGAATTACCGCCCTTGCTGATAAATATCAGTCGAATAATGAGCTTACCATCAGGGATACCCACATTGGTGCAAGGGTTCTCACAAACAAAGTGGGGTCTAAAGGTTCTCGGCAAACAAAGTGTGGTCTAAGGGTTCTCACAAACAAAGTGTGGTCTAAGGGTTCTCGGCAAACAAAGAGGGGTCTAAGGGTTCTCGGCAAACAAAGTGTGGTCTAAGGGTTCTCGGCAAACAAAGAGGGGTCTAAGGGTTCTCGGCAAACAAAGTGTGGTCTAAGGGTTCTCACAAACAAAGTGTGGTCTAAGGGTTCTCGGCAAACAAAGAGGGGTCTAAGGGTTCTCGGCAAACAAAGTGTGGTCTAAGGGTTCTCGGCAAACAAAGAGGGGTCTAAGGGTTCTCGGCAAACAAAGTGTGGTCTAAGGGTTCTCGGCAAACAAAGAGGGGTCTAAGGGTTCTCGGCAAACAAAGTGGGGTCTAAGGGTTCTCGGCAAACAAAGAGGGGTCTAAGGGTTCTCGGCAAACAAAGAGGGGTCTAAGGGTTCTCGGCAAACAAAGTGGGGTCTAAGGGTTCTCGGCAAACAAAGAGGGGTCTAAGGGTTCTCGGCAAACAAAGAGGGGTCTAATGGTTCTCGGCAAACAAAGTGTGGTCTAAGGGTTTTCAAAAAACAAAGAGGGGTCTAAGGGTTCTCGGCAAACAAAGAGGGGTCTAAGGGTTCTCGGCAAACAAAGAGGGGTCTAAGGGTTCTCGGCAAACAAAGAGGGGTCTAAGGGTTCTCAACTAACAAAGAGGGGTCTAAAAAGAGGGGTCTAAGGGTTCTCGGCAAACAAAGAGGGGTGCAAGGGTTCTCGGCAAACAAAGAAGGGTCTAAGGGTTCTCGGCAAACAAAGAGGGGTCTAAGGGTTCTCGGCAAACAAAGTGGGGTCTAAGGGTTCTCGGCAAACAAAGAGGGGTCTAAGGGTTCTCGGCAAACAAAGAGGGGTCTAATGGTTCTCGGCAAACAAAGTGTGGTCTAAGGGTTTTCAAAAAACAAAGAGGGGTCTAAGGGTTCTCGGCAAACAAAGAGGGGTCTAAGGGTTCTCGGCAAACAAAGAGGGGTCTAAGGGTTCTCGGCAAACAAAGAGGGGTCTAAGGGTTCTCAACTAACAAAGAGGGGTCTAAAAAGAGGGGTCTAAGGGTTCTCGGCAAACAAAGAGGGGTGCAAGGGTTCTCGGCAAACAAAGAAGGGTCTAAGGGTTCTCGGCAAACAAAGAGGGGTCTCGGGGTTTTCAAAAAACAAAGAGGGGTCTAAGGGTTCTCAAAAAACAAAGAGGGGTCTAAGGGTTCTCAAAAAACAAAGAGGGGTCTAAGGGTTCTCGGCAAACAAAGAGGGGTGCAAGGGTTCTCGGCAAACAAAGAAGGGTCTAAGGGTTCTCGGCAAACAAAGAGGGGTCTAAGGGTTCTCGGCAAACAAAGTGGGGTCTAAGGGTTCTCGGCAAACAAAGAGGGGTCTAAGGGTTCTCGGCAAACAAAGAGGGGTCTAATGGTTCTCGGCAAACAAAGTGTGGTCTAAGGGTTTTCAAAAAACAAAGAGGGGTCTAAGGGTTCTCGGCAAACAAAGAGGGGTCTAAGGGTTCTCGGCAAACAAAGAGGGGTCTAAGGGTTCTCGGCAAACAAAGAGGGGTCTAAGGGTTCTCAACTAACAAAGAGGGGTCTAAAAAGAGGGGTCTAAGGGTTCTCGGCAAACAAAGAGGGGTGCAAGGGTTCTCGGCAAACAAAGAAGGGTCTAAGGGTTCTCGGCAAACAAAGAGGGGTCTCGGGGTTTTCAAAAAACAAAGAGGGGTCTAAGGGTTCTCAAAAAACAAAGAGGGGTCTAAGGGTTCTCAAAAAACAAAGAGGGGTCTAAGGGTTCTCAAAAAACAAAGAGGGGTCTAAGGGTTCTCAAAAAACAAAGAGGGGTCTAAGGGTTCTCAAAAAAACAAAGAGGGGTCTAAGGGTTCTCAAAAAAACAAAGAGGGGTGTAAGGGACGGTGGGAGTAAACGATTTCTACAGGTTACAGACACCCCCACCCCCAAAGTATGAAAAACACAATGTATCAAAAGTTCGTAATCCACCCCCACCCCCACAATGTTCTGTTTGACCCCAAACCCCACAATGTAATGTCCACTACTCTGGGAATTCCCGAGCAAGTGTAGGTGGATCAATCGTGCTCAGATCGAAGGTCCACTGGGTTGTCTCTTGATTAGGCTTATCTGCCCCTGACAGTAGCCGGTGGAGATGATTTTTGTGACGTGAGAGGGGGGGGGGTTGTATATTGTAGGGGTGGTGAGGTGTTGTGTAGGTGAGAGAGTGTGCGGAGATGAGTGTGTGTGGGGAGGTGATGTAGTGTGGGGAGGTGATGTAGTGTGGGGAGGAATGCGTAAAAAGTGGCCAGGATAGAGATCTTGTGGTCATTTTGGACAGCATTTGTGAGGTAGTTACCTTGTGTGTGTTAGTTACCTATTCCCTGTGTGTGCTAGTTACCCAATGTGTGCTAGTTACCTATTCCCTGTGTGTGCTAGTTACCTATTCCCTGTGTGTGCTAGTTACCTATTCCTTGTGTGTGCTAGTTACCTATTCCCTGTGTGCTAGTTACCTATTCCCTGTGTGTGCTAGTTACCTATTCCCTGTGTGTGCTAGTTACCTATTACCTGTGTGTGCTAGTTACCTATTCCCTGTGTGTGCTAGTTATCTATTCCATGTGTGTGCTAGATACCTATTCCCTGTGTGTGCTAGTTACCTATTCCCTGTGTGTGCTAGTTACCTATTCCCTGTGTGTGCTAGTTACCTATTCCCTGTGTGTGCTAGTTACCTATTCCCTGTGTGTGCTAGTTACCATGTGTGTGCCAGTTACCTATTCCCTGTGTGTGCTAGTTACCTATTCCCTGTATGTGCTAGTTACCTATTCCCTGTGTGTGCTAGTTACCTATTACCTGTGTGTTAGTTACCTATTCCCTATTTGTGCTAGTTACCTATTCCCTGTGTGTGCTAGTTACCTATTCCCTGTGTGTTAGTTACCTATTCCCTATTTGTGCTAGTTACCTATTCCCTGTGTGTGTTAGTTACCTATTCCCTGTGTGTGCTAGTTACCTATTCCCTGTGTGTGCTAGTTACCTATTCCCTGTGTGTTAGTTACCTATTCCAGGTGTGTGCTAGTTACCTATTCCCTGTGTGTGCTAGTTACCTATTCCCTGTGTGTGCTAGTTACCTATTCCCTGTATGTGCTAGTTACCTATTCCCTGTGTGTGCTAGTTACCTATTACCTGTGTGTTAGTTACCTATTCCCTATTTGTGCTAGTTACCTATTCCCTGTGTGTGCTAGTTACCTATTCCCTGTGTGTTAGTTACCTATTCCCTATTTGTGCTAGTTACCTATTCCCTGTGTGTGTTAGTTACCTATTCCCTGTGTGTGCTTGTTACCTATTCCCTGTGTGTGCTAGTTACCTATTCCCTGTGTGTTAGTTACCTATTCCATGTGTGTGCTAGTTACCTATTCCCTGTGTGTGCCAGTTACCTATTCCCTGTGTGTGCTAGTTACCTATTCCCTGTGTGTTAGTTACCTATTCCATGTGTGTGCTAGTTACCTATTCCCTGTGTGTGCTAGTTACCTATTCCCTGTGTGTGCTAGTTACCTATACCCTATGTGTGTGCTAGTTACCTATTCCCAGTGTGTGCTAGTTACCCAGTGTGTGCTAGTTACCCTGTTTGTGCTAGTTACCTATTCCCTGTGTGTGCTAGTTACCTATTCCCTGTGTGTGCTAATTACCTATTCCCTGTGTGTGCTAGTTACCCTGTGTGTGCTAGTTACCTTGTATGTGCTAGTTACCTATTCCCTGTGTGTACTAGTTACCTATTCCCTGTGTGCTAGTTACCCTGTGTGTGCTAGTTACCTTGTATGTGCTAGTTACCTATTCCCTGTGTGTACTAGTTACCTAGCCGAGCTAGTGAGGACGGAAGTCGAGGAAATTAGATTGGTGTCGCCATTTGGAAGCCTGGAAGGGATGACGAGATGGACCAGTGCCTGGTCCTTAGACCTGAAGAGCTATCGACGGAATGCCGGGAGAAAAAAATGGCTGGTCGATACGGACATGCGGGCTGTGTAAATCGGACTCCTTATAGAGTTACCTCCCCTGGACGCCCGCTGGAGTTGCCGAATTCTCCAGTTAGTTCCCCTGTTGACACCACAGTAGCTATTTTAAACTTCTGTCACATCCTCCGTTACTTGCTGTCTATTTGACCTATGTTTCTAGGTCAGTAAGTTCTTTAGAAGATTGTTTTGTTTGTTGTTTTTTCAATGCCCACTAGTCAAATATCTGGTTGTCACTCTCACAACTCATGTAAGCACATGTCCAGTGGTCACATGTCCAGTGGTCACATGACCAGTGGTCACATGTCCAGTGGTCACATGACCAGTGGTCACATGACCAGTGGTCACATGACCAGTGGTCACATGACCAGTGGTCAAATGTCCAGTGGTCAAATGTCCTGTGGTCAAATGTCCAGTGGTCAAATGTCCAGT